CCCCAGGACACCCCATAACCCTCCAAGATCCCTCATAGCCCCCCAGGACCCCCCATAACCCCCCCAAGACCCCTCATAGCCCCCCAGGCCCCCCCATAGCCCCCCAGGCCGCCCAGCCCCACCTGCAGGAGGTGCTGCAGGGCTCTCAGCCATCCCAGGCAGTGCTGCTGGAAGGGCTCCGTTGGGCTCTCGCTCACCAGCAGCGCCAGCAGGCACAGCCCCTCGAACCTGCGACGCCATTGGCTGATGGGCTCAGGGGGGGGCGGGGCTCGCGGGGCCCCACCCGCTCATATCCAAGCAAAAGCTCGACGCTGATTGGCTGCCTCAGCTCTTTAGTCCCGCCCCCCCGAGTCAATTTGGAGGAGCTGCTCACAATTTGAGTTCTGATTGGTTGTTGTGCTGCTTAGCCCCGCCCACCCACAATACAAGCAGCCAATAAAAGAACACAAATCAAAAACGCATCCTACCCACGTGGCCCTGCCCACCATTAAGTTCTTCCACCTGATTGGCTCCCTACCAACCAAGCCCCACCCGCTCCGCATGAGGAGCCAATAGCTGCAAGCTGTGGGCGTGGTCACCACTTTCAGCCAATGGGAGACGAATCCACAAGGTTGTGGCACTGAGCTGCCCTCTGATTGGCTGCCACTGCAGCTAGCTCCGCTCTCCAACCACAGAACGACCAATGAGAAGACGCCTTTCAAACACTGACGCAAAGTTGTGCTGTCTTCCAATTGGCCGATGCTTCCCATGCCCCGCCCTCCCCAGCCCTGCAGCCAATCAGCAGCCCCCAGCCCAGCTCCCTCACGCCCCATTGGCCGCCACTCACCGCGTCTTCATGGAGCCCAGCCGGGCGCCGGCCACGGCGATGAGCGCCCCCAGCGCCTGGGAGGACTGCGGGGTCAGCGGGGTCAGAGGTCAAAGGTCAGGAAGGGACAAATGGGGAAAATGGGGGGGTTGGGGGCAAAATGGGGCAATTTCAGCGGATTTGGGGCAGAAGTGTGAGAATTTGGGGCCATTGGGGGACAAAAGGGGAACGTTGGGGGCAGTTTTGGGGGTTTTTGGGGCGGGAATGGGATTGATTGGGTCAATTTGGGGGGGAAAAGGAGAATTTAGGGCAAAATGGGGCACATTTGGGAGCAATGGGGGAGAAAATGGGGTAAATTGAGCAGATTTGGGGCAACTGGGGAGGATTTGGGGATTTCTGGGTTAGATTTGGGGCATTTTGGGGCGGATTTGGGGTCTTTTGTGGTGGATTTGGGGCGTTTTGGTGCAATTAGAGCACACTTGGGGTAATTTGGGGCAGATTTGGGGCATTTTGAGGTGGATTTAGGCCAGATTTGGGGCAATTGGGGCAGATTTGGGGCATTTTGAGATGGATTTGGGGCATTTTGGGTGGATTTAGGCCAGATTTGTGGCAATTGGGGCAGATTTGGGGCGTTTCGGGGTGGATTCGGGACATCTGGGGACATTTTGGGGCGTATTTGTGGCATTTGGGGGCCGAATTTAGGCTCTGCGCAGGGTCCCTATGCCAGCACAAGATGGGCTCAGGGGTCACGTGCGGGGCCAGAGGTCACGCGAGGGGTCAGAGGTCACACGGAGGGGTGGGGGGGCCCCACGTGGCGCAGCTGCAGCGCTCCCCATTGGATTTGGGGCGCAGGGGGGGGATCCGGGGATGCAGTTTTTCGCACCTGAGCTCCGCCGCTGTCCCGCAGCCCTCGCACCAGTCCCGGGAGCGCGCCCGGGGCCGTCGGGAGCGCGCTGAGGGCCTCCAGAAGCGCCGCAGCGGGAGCGCGGGCGGCCGCCACCGCCGCCATGCTGGTGGTCGCGGGACGTCGCGGAGCGCGGCGCACGGAGATGACGTCAAAAGGGGGCGGGCGGAAGAACATCGAGACGCAGCCTAGAGCGCCCCCGGCGGACATCCGGCCGTGGGAGTGCATAGCGCATGCGCGAGCGGAAGTAGGGCCGGAAGTGTGGGTAGGAGGAAGCATGGCGGGCTACGGCGTGGCCAACGAGAGGCTGCGGGCCCTGGAGGAGCTGGAGAGGGAAATCGGCGCGGCGCTGCAGAGCGCGGGTGGGCGGGGCCTGGCGATGGGCGGGGCTTAAGCGGGCGGAGGGCGGAGCCTTTCTGGGGGCGGGACCGTCGGTAGAGACGGCGGAGTGGGCGGGGCTTTGTTGGGGGGCGGGGCGGGGCTTACATTGCGGTGGGCGGGGCTTAGTGGAGATTTGGTCGACCGCGCTGTGGGCGGGGCTTAACGGTGGGCGGGGCTTATGGCGATGGGGGGGGCCTTAAAGGCACAGGGCGTTCCTGAGGGTGCAGCCCTGTGGGGGAGTGGCAGCCATTTCCCGTGGGGCAGGAAGTCCCTCCCACAACCGAGGGGTCAGAGGTCACGACCCCCCCATTCCCCCCAGGCTCGGTGATTCTGGAGCTGTCCAAGGAGAAGGCAGCAGAGCGGCTGCTGGAGCGGCAGGCGGCTGCGTTTGGGGCGGCTGTGGCCAAAGTGGAGGCCGAGCTGGGGGCCCAGATCCGCTACCTGACCCAGGTGGGGGTCGGGGGTCAAAGGTCAGAGGTCAGGGGTTGGGGGTGGGAATCCGAACGCTGAGGTCTGAATCCAAATTAAGCCTGGAAATGGCGCTCAAATCCAGGCTCCAAAGCTGTGCCAAAATCCGGGATTCTCACCCCAAAACTCTGCCCCCAAAATCCTGGATCCTCACCCCACGGTTTTGCCCCTCATCCCCCAATCGCAGCCCTCAGTGTCTCGGGGGAGGGGGCGTGGCCATTGAAAAGGGGGCGTGGCCTCTTCTGCGGGTGGGCGTGGCTAGGAGGAAGCGCATGGGAGGGGGCGTGGCTTTGCCGTGGGGGCGTGGCCACACAGCAGGGGGCGTGGCAGTGTCTGGAGGGAGGGGCGTGGTCACAACGGAGGAGGGCGGGGCGATACCTTATGGGGGCGTGGCCACGCACGATGGGCGGGGCTTCCATTATACTCAAAGTGGCGTGTTTGGAAGGGGGCGTGGCCAGCGCGGGTGGGAGGAGTTTGTGGGGTGTGGTCATAATGGAGGGTGCGTGACCTTGGCTGACTGGGGGCGTGGCCAGGCCGGGTGGGGGCGTGGCTCCGATCTGAAGCCCCGCCCCCCTTTCCAGGTGGCCACCGGGCAGCCCCACGAGGGCTCGAGTTACGCGGCACGGAAGGGCTGCCAGCTGGCTCTGAACAGAATGGAGTACGCCAGGAGGCGGCTGGCGGAGCTGGCACGGGGCTGTCAGCAGCTGCTGGATGCTTAGGGGCAGCGAGGGGGGCTGCTGGACCCACGGGGGGCGGTGGGGGGCGGTCGGTGGCCGCTGGGCACAGAGGGGAGTGGGAGGCGTGGGGCTGGACACAAAGCGGGGACCGTGGATGGAGGTGGGGAGGTGGGGGGTGGTGGGGGGCGATCTGGGGTCGTCAGCGAGTGCTGGACCCGTAGCGGTGTGGGAGGTGTGGGGCTGGACCCATAGGGGCGGGGGGGACACGGATGGGTGTGGGGCCGTCAGAGGCTGCCGGACCCATAGGGGGCGCTGTGGGGCCGTGGATGGACGTGGGGATGTGGGGTTGTATGGGGTTATATGGGGCGATGTGGGGTCGGACCCATCGGGCTGTGGGGCCGTGGATGGACGTGGGGACGCCGTGGGACAGCCAGGATGTGGGGGGACCCCCAGGACACGGCAGAGACCCCAATGTGGGGCAGAACAATAAAGGGGTCCGCATGTATGGGGCACAAGAATGGGGTCTGCGTGTGCGTGTGTCTGTGGGGTTTGGGGTCTGTGGGGCAGCTTGGGGGACTTGGGGGGTGGGTCCCTATGGGGTCTCTATGGGGGTTGGGGTCCCTGTGGGATCTTTATGGGGCTTCGGGCCCCTATGAGGTCCCTATGGGTTCTCTATGGGGTTTGGGGTTACTATGGGTTGTCTATGGGGTGACACTGAGTTTTGGGATCCCTATGTGGTCTCTAGAGAGACTTTGGGATCTCTATGGGGTTTCGGTTCCTTATGGGATTTCTTTGTGGTCCATATGGGGTTTTGGGGCCCCCATGGGGTGCCTATGGGGTCTCTTATGAGGTTTGGTGTCCCTATGGGGTTCTCTATGGGGTTTGGGGTGTTCCTATGGGGTTTTCTATGGGGCTTAGGGTCCCTATGGGGTCTCTATGGGGTTTGGGGTGCTCCTATGGGGTCCCTATGGTGTCTCTATGAGGTTGGGGGTCCTTACGGGGTCTCTCAGAGGCTTTTTGGGGTCGCTGTGGGGTCCCTATGGGGCACTACAGGGACTGAGGGGGCGGGGTCAGTTCCGGCCCCGCCCACCCCGCGTGGCCCCGCCCCCATTTCTGTTTCGGGGCGGGATTTCCGGGTGATGACGTCACAGCCCGAAACTCCCCCCTGCCCCCCCCCCCCATGGGGCGCAATGTGGGGCCGGCTATGGGGCAGTCGATCTATGGGGCACCCAATCTATGGGGCCGTGTATGGGATACCCAATGGATGGGGCTATTTATGGGGCGCCCAATCGATGGGGCTGTCTATGGGGCGCCCAATCTATAGGGCCATCTGTGGGGTGCCCAGTCTGTGGGGCAGTCAATCTGTGGGGCTGTTTGTGGAGCCATCTATGGGGCAGGCAATCTATGGGACGCTCAGTGGGGTCATGCATAGGGCCACGTATGAGATCATCTATAGGGTCATCTATGGGGCCATCTATGAGGTCATCTATGGGGTCATCTCTGGGCCATCTATAGGGCACCCGATCTGTAGGGCCGCCTATGGGGCTGTCTGTGGGGCAGCCGACCTGCAGGGCTCTCAGTGGGGCCGCCTATGGGGCGCTCCCTCTATGGGGCCGCCCCGCCCCACCCCTGACCCCAACCCGACCCGAAACCCCCGGCCCCGCCCCGTGACGTCATCGCCCCGCCCTATGACGTCACCGCCCCTCCCGTGGGGCTGCACCCCCTTTATATGGGGCAGGGCAACCGCCGGACCCACAGCGCCCATAGGGGATAGGGGACCCCGGGGGATCTAGGGCCTGGAAGGGAAATAGGGCCTGGAGGGGGTAGAGAGCCCAGCGGACCCATAGAGGAGGCCACAGCAGCCCCATAGGATCCCCGGGACCCATAGCAGCCCCACAGCAGCCCCATAGGACCCTCCAACCTCTGGGACCCACAGCAACCCCATAGGGCTCCTGGGACCCATAGCAGCCCCATAGCTGCCCCATAGCTGCCCTATAGCACCCTTTTACCACCAGGACCCACATCATCCCAAAAAGGCCCCCTGAAGACCCACCCCACCCCATTAGGACCCCATCAGATCCTATTAGGACCCCATTAGAACTTCTCCCATCCCATCAGACCCCACCAGACCCCACTAGGACCCCTTCCACCCTATCAGACCCCATTAGGACCCATCAGATCCCATTAGGACCCATCAGATCCCATTACGACCCCATCAGATCCCATCAGGACCCATCAGACCCCATCAGGACCCATCAGATCCTATTAAGACCCATCAGACCCCATTAGAACCCATCAGACCCCATCAGGACCTATCTGACCCCATCAGACCCTATTAGGACCCATCAGCCCCCGTTGGAACCTATCAGCCCCTATTAGGACTCATCAGACCCCATCAGGACCCATCAGCCCCCACCTGACCCCATCAGACCCAATTAGGACCCATCAGACCCTATTAGAACCCACCTGACCCCACCAGGACCCATCAGACCCCATCAGGACCCCACCAGGACCCATCAGACCCCATTAGAACCCATCAGACCCCACCAGGACCCATCAGACCCCATTAGGACCCATCAGACCCCACAGGACCCATCACACCCTATTAGAACCCATCAGACCCCACCAGGACCCATCAGACCCCACCAGGACCCATCAGACCCCATTAGTACCCATCAGACCCCATCAGGACCCACCTGACCCCACCAGGACCCACCAGGACCCACCTGACCCCACAGGACCCGCGAGGCCCAGCGGAGCCGATGGCCAGCGGCGGCCTGGAGCTGCTGGGCCTGGCCCTGGCGCTGGGGGGCTGGGGGGCGGTGGTGGCGGCCACGGCGCTGTGGCAGTGGCAGACCAGCACCTACGCGGGGGACAACATCGTGACGGCCGTGTCCACCTACCAGGGGCTGTGGGGCAGCTGCGTCAGCACCAGCACCGGGCAGCTGCAGTGCAAGGCTTACGACTCCCTGCTGGCGCTGCCGGGTGAGTTGGGGCGGGTATGGGGCGGTTATGGG